TATAATGTGACAGCCCTTGGACTGTAAGTTATTTTAAATAACCTATGTAACACATTTTATCCGCGGTTGTGATTAATTTTTTTTACATATCCTATTGAAGAATGCAATGTAATGATGTAATTGCGTTCAAGTAAATTTAAAAACTCTTGTAGCTCATATACCTCTAGTGTATATATTTAATAAACAAAATAGTAATTTCCAATCCCACACATAATTGTAAAAAGCAGATTTTATGAGATGTTACCATATCACAAACAATTGTAATGATAAGGTAAATGTATTTATTTTTATATTATTCTTTTCAGGAAAAAAATAGTAAAATCAAACATATCTAAGTTAAGAAAAATTTAAACCAAAAACCAAATGTAATTTTAAATGTGTAAGAAAAGACGTAATTTATAGTAGCGTATTTTAGAGAAGTATTTTGAAGCAGTGTATGTTATGTAATATTATTTTAAAGGAATGTAAGATCATGTGTGCAATTGAAATAAAAAATAAAAAACAAAACAACAAAAAATATTGTTTTATCTATGCCCTATATAAATAAAGCAAGCGGCAGCTCTTTATTATTGGTTAATCATCAGTAATCATTTATTGAAAAATTAAGCAAAACTATTCTGCCAAAGTTCAATTTTTATTCCTATACGTGGATCGACATTGAACGAAAAAAAACGTAAAAAACCATAAATAATCATTTTTTGGCAAAAATAGAGCAAGCAGGAGCTCCTTATTTCATTTGTTGGTTAATCTATATCATCAGTTATCATTTATCGATGAATTAAGCAAAAATATTTGGTAGAAATTCGATTTTCGTTCCAAAAACAATCGACAGGTAGCTATACATGGGTTTTTTTTGGGAACCAAAATAGAACATTAGGACAAAATTTTTCTTAATTCGCCAGTAAATGATAACTGATATAGATAATTAATTAATAAATGATAATAACTAGCTGTGGCATGCTTTATTTTTGTAAAAAAATGGTTATTTATTCTGTTTTTACGGTTTTTTCGTTCAAGTTCGACCCACGTATTGGAATTAAAATCGAACAAATCGAGTTGAAAATTTTTGCTTAACCGTTCGAATCGTTCGATTTTAGTTCATATACATGGGTGGATTTTAGCAGAAAAAACGTAAAAACAGAATAAATAACCATTTTTTTACAAAAATAAAGCATGCCACAGCTAGTTATTATCACTTATTAATTAATTATCGCTATCAGTTGTCATTTACTGGCGAATTAAAAAAAAATTTGTCCTAATGTTCTATTTTGGTTCCCAAAAAAAACCCATGTATAGCTACCTGTCGATTGTTTTTGGGAACTGAAATAGAACATTAGGACAAATTTTTTTCTTAATTCATCAGTAAATGATAACTGATATGGATAACTGATTAATAAATGATAAGAGCTAGCTGTGGCTTGTCTTATTTTTGTAAAAAAATGGTTATTTATTCTGTTTTTACGTTTTTTCCGGCTAAAATCGACCCATGTATATGAACTAAAATCGAACTTTTGTAGAAATTTTTTGCTTAATTTATCAATAAATCACATTTATTATTAATGATCTAAATA